AACTTTCTCAGCTTATCCTTCATATGGGAGGTGCTCCAGTCCCCTGATCATCCTCATGGCCCTCCTCTGGACTTGTTCCAACAGTTCCATGTCCTTTTTATGTTGAGGACACCAGAACTGCACACAATACTCCAAGTGAGGTCTCACAAGAGCAGAGTAAAGGGGCAGGATCACCTCCTTTGACCTGCTGGTCACGCTCCTTTTGACGCAGCCCAGGATACGGTTGGCTTTCTGGGCTGCAAGTGCACACTGAACCCAGCTCATGTTCATTTTCTCATCAACCAACACCCCCAAGTCCTTCTCCACAGGGCTGCTCTGAATCTCTTCTGCCCAACCTGTAGCTGTGTCTGGGATTGCTCCGACCCAGGTGTAGGACCTTGCACTTGTCATGGTTAAACTTCATGAGGCTGGCATCAGCCCACCTCACACGCATGTCAAGGTCCCTCTGGATGGCATTCCTTCCCTCCAGGGTATCAACCGAACCACACAGCTTGGTGTCCTCGGCAAACTTGCTGAGGGCGTACTCCCTTAAAAATCCTCTGTCAGATAACATTGTCCTGTGGTGACTGACATACAGTACTAGAATGAGAAGTGACTTTGCCAAGTATTTATTCATAGGGAAAAAACACTTATGTGCTTCCAGCATTGGCTAGCACATCCTTCTCAAGTGCTATATTTTGCATGGTTTTGCAGATGTTTCTACTATTCCCCCATCTCCACACAACTTTGGTGATTAATAGTTAGTGATTAGTATTGCTTTGGGTGAACGTTTTCAGACTTTGCCCTTATTTCCCTAATGGTTTTACTATAGAGCAATTTGCAACTGGAAATTATTAAAATGGGTGTCTCCTCCTAAAACTGGAAGTAGGAGTAGCCATAATCCACATGATCTTTGTCAGAAGATTAATTATACAGGAAGAAACAGCACATTTGGAGCCATAATTTCTGAAAATGAAATGCAGTGATGCATAGCTTTGACCCATGGAGTAGGAACATTGACTTCTAATTCTCAGCAAATTGTACTTGCCATTAGCTGGGGTGAATGACTGTTCCAGTTTTGCTTCCTGGAGGAAAACTGTTTCACCTCAAGCTAGAAAAATTCACTAGAATTTTAAACACTTTCAGTTTAATTTACAAAGAATCCTTCTCTCTATCCCCATAGAGAGACTGCCTGATTTAAAGACTGGACATACAGAGAGAGGGGTAGAACTCCAGCAGGTGCGAAGGTCTGGAAACATTTGTCTGAATGATTTATCCTCATCAGAGTCATCATTACATGGTAAGTTCCTAAGTTAGGACCCTCCTTTCTTTCACATTTCATTTCAGAAGCATGACTGGAACAGCTCATTGTGCAATTGAGTCATTATTAGTTGTGTAGGTGTTTAGTGGGTAGTAAACCAGTTTATTGTTGTGTTCTATTCCACTCCTGAAAAAACTGTCTTTGCTAGCAGGGGCAGCACAGATAGGAAGTGCCTGGAGGGTGCCACATCAGTCGTATTAAACCTCAGCTCAGCTTAATCCCATTCTGACCTATCATTTTACCTGTGCTTTTTTTTTTTTGTCTTCATAGTTATATGTGATTTGGGGATGTTAAGACGATGTAGAACTGTCTTTCATCGAAGTCTTACTAAGAGTTATAGTCTGCAGTCATTATCTCTGAGCTGTCCTAGCTGCTCTGTGTGAAAGCACAATTTTAAGCCATATGTGTCTTAGGTATGAAGCTCTGTATACAACAGGAAACACATTATCTATGGCTGGCCAATGCGATCCCCCAGCATCGGACGTTTTTGGAACAAAAGAAAGGCACTGCTTTCAAAGAACTTGCTTTTACAGGTCTTAGGTCTGTTTCACCTCAGTGGTAGTAATAAAACATAGCATTGCTATGCCAGAAATATCTGCTTTCCAATAAGCATTCACAGTACTTGTGAAAAATCATTACTTGCAATGTTAAGTGTGAGTTTCTTGTTTCCCTGGAACATTCTCTTCTCCAGGCTGAAGTACCTTAGAGAAGACTTGCAATTCCTAAAGGGCCAACAAAAAAACTGTAGAGGAACTTTTTATATGGTCCCAAAGAGTAAGGACAAGGGGCAATGGCTTTAAGCTGAAAGAGGGTAGATTTAGATTAGGTATGAGGAAGAAACTTCTCATTGTGAGGGTGGTGAAACATAAGAACAGGTTGCCTGAAGAAGCTGTGGATGTCCCATCCCTGAAAATGCTCAAAAACAGGCTGGAAGGGGCTTGGAGCAACCTGGTCTAGTAGAAGGTGTCCTGCCCATGGCAGTGGGGTTGGAACTGGATGATCTTGAAAGTCCCTTCCAACCCAAACCGTTCTGTGATTTAGACAGGAGACAAGGAGACCTGGCACGCCAAGAGTGGGAACTGATGGCAGAAGTCCGACAGCTCAGACAAAGGCTGACCTCACAGGCTAGAACCAGACATCCTCCAGCTCGACTCCCAGCTACACCATGGATGCCTTGAGATGGTTTGCTCTGGACCTCAGCTGTACATTCAAATTATTCATCAGTGGAATGCTAAATATGTATAGTACAATTAGGGATCAGAGATTCTTTATAGTAAAGGCCTTCAAAAATATTTTTATATAAAAATAAAAATGCTGACTATAAAAATGTGTGTTGTTTGTAACCTTCTAATTTTCTTAGTAACTATAATGCTATTTTTACTTATAAAATAAACTCATTTTTTGCCATCATGTTATTACACCTGTGGTATTTGTATCATTTCTCCTGGTAGATGCCATGACTTGAAGAAAGAAACCACTGTTAAAATGTTGGGTTTTGCAGTGATGTGTTAAGTAGATTCTGCAAGTTGCAGCAGTGAAATTTGCAATTGGAGAAAATATCCTTTCCACTGACAGCCAACCACTTGAGAACAAAGCCCAGAGAGCCTGTGGCACCTCCGTGGCTCGAGCTACCCACAGTTGTTAACACGTATTAGCAGGTTTGTTTCATGAGAAAGAGGGAAGAGGAGATGCTGCTCGGCTGGATTTCACTGGCTAATGCTTATACCAAGAGTAGAACATTATGTGGTGGTACACTAGAAAAGAATGAGGCAGAGTAAAAAAGTGAATCACTCGCAATTGCTACACATGATGCTGATATCAGAGTAGATTTGGCTGTGTAAAAATATGAGGACCTGGAATTTAATTTGTTCTACTTCCCATGGGGGGAAGCTCTGGGGTAGCAGTATTGCAGCAGGACTGCTTGTGGTGCCCCATGCGTGTTGAAGCACCATGCTGAGGCCAGACCCAGGCAGTGGCTCTGAACCAGCAGATCTTTATCACATAAAGACTTAAATGTGCACCAGTAGTTACTTACCCTCATATTGGCATCCTCTGTGTCTGGAACCAGAAACGGTCACATTAGTAACAGCCACATTTCACAGAAATCTCACCAGAACCGTCAGCAGAGTGTGGGGAAGAGGCATCATTTCTTTTCAAAGAGAATAAAACGCAACAGGCAGTGATCATCTTAGGGAGGCAGAAGTAGCAGCAGATCCTTTTCTGATGACTGTCTTGGAGCTTGCACATGATTATATTTAAAGCGGAAAAATAAACCCACGAAGCTTTTGGCCAGCGCACTGGGCCATATGTTACACACTTAGGTTTGTAAAAGGTTACATTTGTAAATGTACAAAGCAGTGTTCCAGTCAGGCACAGCCTGTACCCTGTTGTGGCTCTGGCAGCCCCTGGTCCATGCCCCTTACCTGGCTGTGGGGCCCACAGCCCACTGCAGAAGTGGGGCTGACCCCATGCCCAAACACCTCAGTGGGCTTGCAGCTGGCGTGGGTGCGGACAGTCCTGTGCCACAGCACATTTTGAACACTGTAAATTGCAAACATCATCTACATGAACCCAGCATCAGGAAACACAGGCCCCGTCCCCTGAAACTACAGCTTCTCGTATCACTACAGACAGGACAGTGCTGAGGGCTTAAGAGTGCAGTTTTATAGAGCTCTGCCGCGCATAAAAGCGAGGTGAGGTGGTCACAGTCCACAGCAGCCCGTCCCACCTCGAGAGTAAAAGAACTGCCCGCCTTTGCCCCGTGTGAGGATCGAACTCACGACCTTCAGATTATGAGACTGACGCGCTACCTACTGCGCTAACGAGGCGGCTGTACGTTCTTTCGCCCCACCAGATCTCGACCCGGGGCCTGTCCCCGCCATGGCTGCTGAGGGCCCGGCGGCCGCCTCAGCCCCACACACAAGGGACAAGGTGTGGGACGGACGGCACGGTGACGGCGTGGTCCTCGGAGTGAGCCTGTGGGACCCCGCAGTTGCAGAGAGGGGCCCTGTGGAAACGGCGTGGGGCTCTGTGGTGACCGCGGAGCTCCAGGGTGACCCCGCGCGTCCCGATGGTGACGGTGTGGGAGCCTGTGGTGGCCGTGTGGGACCCCAGGGTGACAATGGGGTGTCCCTGTGGTGTCAGTGAGAGGTCCCATGGTGGCAAGCTCCGGTGGCCCTGCTGTGACCATGGTGGGACACTGGGTGACCAGTGTGGGACCCCAGGTGACGGAGCTGGCCCTCCCGGGCCGGGGGGTGACGGCCCTGCTTGGGCCCCGGCAGGCGCTGATCGGCGCTGGCCGGGAGCGATCTTGCCTGTCAGGTTAATGAGGCGGCATCATTCCCGGCATAATTGCGCAGAGCAGGTCAGTGGATAATTAGTGGCTGTTGGCCGCGTCTGACAGCTGTGGGCGGATGTTGGGGGGTGGGGGCACGGGTAGCTCCTTAACCCCACACCGGGAGCTCGGGGACGCGCCCTGCCGCCTCCTCTCCTCAGCGCCCCTGTGGGTGCTTCCCGCCCTCTGGATCCGGGAGTAAAATCTGAAGCAGTTCAGACCCTTTTCTCTTTTAATCTTAATAGTTGTCTCCTCCGCTTGCACTGCCCCCTCCTTAGGGCATCTGACATAGACACAGACCCAGAACCTGGGAAACTCTGTGCCTGTGTCATCGCTCAGTGCGGCACTGAAGACGTTCATGATCCTGAGCACACTGGTCAGCACTGTTTCCACGCTCAGCAGCTCATAACCCCATGCAAGAATCCTTGAGGCTGACATGCCCCTTGACCCTGCCCTCCCCCGGAGCCGTGGCACACCGGTGCATGGACACAGAGCTACAGAGGGTGAGGACAAACCCAACCTGCGTGAGAAAACTGTGTCACACGTGCCTGTGCGTACAGGCATGCACACAGGTATTTACCGTGCACCTCGGGCAGGGAGCCTTCCCACCCTGCTCTCCTCACCCCCACACACTCATACCGGCCGGCCTGGCTCCCCGGGGCGCTGTGCCTCGCACCCCGCTGCGAACTGCGCCTCTGTCCTGCTAATGACACAGCAGCCGAGCTGCCACAGGGACAACGTGACTCCAGGAGCTGCAGCCTGGGAAGGAGAAAAAAACACACAACCAACGAACCAGCCCTAAATGTGCACAATCAAGTGATGAGTGTTTGTATTTCTGATGCTTTGAGGCCAGCTCACAACCCTCCCTCCGTGTATTATTCAGGATGTTTGGGAAGGGGTATTTTTCTTTTAATAGGATGGCGTAGTCACAAAGCTTTAAAGAAATAAATGAGTGAATCGCCTATGGTAATAGCAACATACTATGAACGGGGCACAGTGACGAAGTTCAAGTCTATTTTTAAGCATGCCTGGTAGCATGTAGGTGCAGACAACAGCCCGTACCCCTTTCTGCTTCTCTGAAGCTATGGACATGGCTGTTGTCTCTGTCCCAGTTCAACGTCAGAGTTGTTTTTGCTCCCTAGCGAATACTATGGGAAGACAGAGAAGCCTCGAGCTGTTTTGAAGATTATGCAACGATGCTTAGGAGCCTACCTGCTTTTGCTTGAGTGCTTTCCTCGCTCACATCGCACAGGATGCGACAGGAAGAGAAGTACAACCGAATCGGACGGCCCTGGTGATTGGACTCGAATCCATCCTATGCCCTGGAGGTGAGGTGGGTACCTGTCAGATAAGCAATCTAATCAGTTTTGCTCTTGTGCCCTATCTGGAAACAGATTGTGGCTGAAGTACACCACTTGAGAACTGAGCTTCTGTTTTTTTTAAAGGTAATTGTACCAAGGAAATCGGGGAGTGTGCATTTGTCTGAGGTAATTAGATCTCTATTTTTATTCATAGTTAATTCCTTCAGCCGAGGTGATTTCACGCCACAATGCAGTGTCTAAACAAGGACGATTGGGCTGCCTACCCCGTGCATATGCATGCTGCCTCCCCGGCAGATCTGCTGCGACAAAGAGCCATGAGCAACCCCAGACACTTGGGCAAGATAAGGAAAAGGCTGGAGGATATCAAGAGCCAGTCCTCAAAGCTGACAAAAGCGGATTTCAGCCACAATGAAAGCGTAAGGTTGGCCACTGATGCCTTTCTGGATGGTGGGACAGACTCTTACCTGGAAACTTTACACAAGGAAGGCGAGGTAGATTTCCTCTCCTCAGTGGAAGCTCAGTACATCAAGGATAATGCCAGGGAGTCCTATTATGCGGAGGAGTCCCTGGCCACCGACGGGGCGGCTGCGCCAAAGAACTATGCTGGGTCACTCCCTTCAGGGACCTACTTCCCCACCGTTTCTGACAGCAGCGAGCCAGCCCTGCTGCACACATGGATTACAGCAGACAAGCCCTATTTGAAGGAAAAATCCACTGCCACTGTGTATTTCCAGACAGAGAAGAACAACAACATCAGAGACATCATACGCCGGTACATCAACAAAACCACTCAGGTACAGAGAGAATTGCTGTTTCCTCTGCACTCAGTTGTATTAAAAAAGATCATGTAAACAGGGTGTTTGATCTGAGCCAGCCTTTTGCATTGTAGTATAGCTTTGCTCTAGAAAGTGGCTGTAAAGAGCCTCTTGTTGAACACAGGCAATGCTGCTTTTTTTCTTTTATAATCATACCTACACCTTTTTATGTTGGTGACTTCAGGGAAAAAAAGCATTCCCTCTCCTTTTAAACTCACATTAACCTGGCAGAGCATATGTCCCGTAGAAAGGGCAGCTGGCCTCTATTCCCTCTTGTGCATCACCAGCAAGATGAGCTCCATTCAGCCTGCTCCACCAGTAATGAGAATTAAGCTAAAGTGAGCTCTGAGCCATTAGCAGTTGTTCATGGGGATCCGTGTGGGATGTGGATGAAGGGGAGTCCAGAGAAGGGCGTGTGTGTCTGGTGTGCCAGCAGCCATCCCCAGAGTAAGGCTGGGAATGGTCTTTCAGGGAAAAGACCTTTCATCCATAATATGCTGTCAGTGTCACTAAAAATGCCATATGGGCTCCATATGAAAACTGCAGCGTAACTTGGTACATGGGGAAGGTGCAGATCACGCCCCTGATGACAGACAGATGATGGGGGCCTGCAGAGAAGTGCCACATCAAGCCAGGGTGCCCACACATTGGGAAAACAGAAGCTGAGCAGCTGGAGGGGGGACAAAAAGCTTCTGTCTTGTGTGTTCTGGCAGTTCCCTGTTTTCCCGGAAAAAACTATTTGACATTGCAGGGCTGTGTTTATGATCATCTGGGAGGTTTCCTCATGGATAAACTTGAGATGTCACTAGCAGTTTTACCGGGGAATGGCCAGGAACAAAACCAGGCTGTAGTTCCCGCTGTCCAGCACAGGCTGCAGAGCCCACTGCAGTTGCGAACTTTCACTGTGTTATTCTCCTGCAAGGGCAAGTGCTGGGTCTGATGATGAGTGTAATGGCAGGGGAGAAGAATCCCCACTGGCAACTGCCCTGTCAAAGGCTACAAGTGCTCGGCACATCAGAGGAATTATAGCTTAGTCATTTGAAGTTACAGCATCAGGAAGATACAGTAGCAGGAGAAATGTCTCTGGAATAATAAAATAAGCACCAGGTAAAGTATCAACCCAGGCTGATTTTCTGTCCCAGGAGGAGAAAACTTGTAGGGAAAAAGGTGAGAAATGGAATATAAATCCATGGTTCTCATGACCTTCTTAACCATCTAATTTACATTACAAGAGGGTGCCGAGGCAACACTTACTCACTGTATAAATTTGGCAGCTGTTTTTTGAGAACAGTTTTTCAACGGCAGCATGGCTTAATAAGTATCTAATATGGGCCCATCCTGGATAGCCTAGGATTTGATATATCCATTAACAATTTACACAACAGAATAAAGACTGTGTTTGGGGATGATATCAAACTGGTGAGTAGTTACTATAATCTTAACACATTTGTGGAATAGGTAGAAATCCTGAAATGAAATTCAGGCAAAAGCAGCAGGAAGTTCTGCAAGTGAAAGAGGAAAGTCAGGTGCAGAAATACAAATTGGAAATAGCTGGTGCAAAAGCAGTGCTGGAGAGGGTGCTCTGGGGCTACAGTGAGGCTTGATGCAGGACTGTGCTGTTTAGAAAGACAAGGTTAGTCAGCAGGAAAAGCAGATGTGAGATATTGGACATACTTACGCAGCTTACCTGGCCTTGGCAAGGCCCTTTCTGAAGCACCATGCTTTGGCAGCAGGAGAAAGGTGTGGGATCGTCAGCTCTCCATGAATAATTTGGCTTGCCTGAACAGGATGCTGGCCACACAGGATGTGCTTAGTCTTGTAGCATTTCCATTGGTGGCAAAGGGAAAAAGCTTGCTGGCAGGTGTAGGAAGAGGCTTTGGAGTAAGATTCAGAGCAAGCTGGAAATAAACAGTAAGACAGATCTGCAGAGACACTGTAAAGTTTGTTTTGATTGAAGGTAATATCCTGTGAGTGCAATTAGCAAGAGTTCTCTTTTGCATCAGTGGAGGAATAGACACCTTCTAAAGATAAGTAAGGTATCAGCTGGGCTGAATTGCCCTGGGGAGATGTCCTTTTCTTTGGACAACAGTAGACATCAATGAAGACCACCAGCACCTTCAAGAGGCCATGCCCAATACTGAACATAGGGGCTGGAGCATGAAGGTGGGTTTATATCACATTTACAGTTCCCTGGATCCACACTGGCTGAAGGCTGTGCATTTAAGTAGCTGGCAGGGCTTTTATGCCCAGTCCTGAGACTTTTACACACTGTCGTGCCAGCTGTGACTTTGGAAGCATGGATGCATGGCTACAGTGAAACAGTTTATAGGTCAGTATTAACAAAAGAAAAACCAGAACCCAAACAGATGGAGCTGTTGCAGTCCATCACCCCACCCAACAACAGAGTGGGGATTTACAGCCAGGACCCTTCCAGGTATAAGTCCTAACAGAAAGCGTGATGCAGTGATTCTTGCTGAATGCATGTGGCTCACAAAAGCTAGTCAGCCATTTGACACAGGCTACAGTCTCTTATTTTAACTACGTTCTTATTATTCCCCGATTAGGGTTTCAGTATTGTTCCTAGTGCTTTAATCTCACCTGCAAATTCATAGGTCATCTTGTGTTTTATGATTAAAAGAGCTTAACTGAAGTGCGTAAGTTGTGTGTTATATTGGCTTTAGATGAGCAATAAAACAAAGCAGCAACGTGTCTCATTGATTTCCTGATTCAGGCACTTAGGGAGAAAACCAGAAGAAATATCCTCTGAAGATGTCTCTTGGTGGTAATATGATTTTCAACCAAATAAACTACATTTCAGTGGCCTCACAGATGACCTTACATAAATCAGGCCTCGTAATGCCTCTGCTGTTTTTCCCTAGGTGCTAGCTATCGTGATGGACGTGTTCACAGACACTGAGATTTTCTGTGACCTCCTGGAGGCAGCCAACAAGCGCATGGTGTTTGTCTACCTGTTGCTTGATCACGGCAGTATCAATCTCTTCTCGGAGATGTGCGACAAGTTGCAAATTTCTGAGGATCTCTTCAAGGTACTGTGGCTCTGTGAAGCGTTCAGGCTCAGATTCAGCTGCACAACTTTAGGTACTCTGAGCTACAAGCATGGTTATGGGAGGGTAGGTCCACCTTGTAATTAAAAGGGAGCGAGGGATTTCCAGAGGTAGGGTTAGTGCACCTAATTCCTCTCTTGAGGAAGCCTCCATTTTCCCATGGATGTTATAAGAATGTAAAGCATTTCCATAGGTCCTTAGATGAACCTAATCTAGGCTCTGAAGTCCTAAAAGAGAGCTTAAGTCCCTAGTAGAGCTGTCTAACATTACAACTAGTTATCTAGCATTACAACTGCTTCTGTTTAATTACTGTGCAGCAGCTATGGTCTGGCAGTGCTGGTAGCAGGCACACAAACCATTTTGCATGGCAGTATCTTGATTGCACTAAGTGGTTTCTTATAAAACATGTTGAAGATCTGTTTTAAAGATCACACCTCAAATTTAGCTGGCTGTTAGCTTAGTCCACCTTTGCCTCTGCCAGAATCAACCATAGGATCATATCTGCCAGAGGAAACTGACCTTAAACTTCCTAGGGACCATTTCAGTTGTTGCATAGATGCTGTAGGGCACCTGTGGCATCTTTGTGAGGATGGCTGATGTCTCAGAGGCAACAGACTTATGGAATAGCAGCTGGAGGGCAGGCAATAGACCTGAGAGGATCTTACGTGCACCAGACACTTATGTTTCAACAGCTGAATTCCTCCCCAGATGTATAAAGAAACTGAAATTAATAAAACATGCTCAGTGCTTGCATGTCTGTAAACACCCACTCCTTAGGAAGGACAAGCCTGTGCTATTTATTGTAAGTATGCTGCTGCAATACACAGACTTCAGTGATGCATGAGCCAAATCCTTGGTGCCACTCATTTACTAAGGCTCTGCAATGTGTTGTGTGGACAGCAGAGTCAGATCTGCATGCCTGGCTTCCCTTAAGTGCACTTGCTGACGTACAGGGACAGTGCAGAGCATTGCATGGACCTCTTCACTCACACATGTTCTTGCATCAGATCCTGCAGGACTGCATTCATCTGGGCTGCACCAGAAGAGCAGCACCTTGCAGGCCCAAGTGGACAGGGAGAGCAGAGGTTTTGCCCTGCTTTATTGTGCCATAACTAATGTAAAACAAAAAAGCTTACAGCTAGAGCAAGTGTTACTGGAGTGTCAGCAGAGGTTATGGACTGTTCAGCTATGGACACTTCTCACATCAGTTATCATTACACAGCACAAGTTTATATTGCAGGTCGAAGGAGATGATCCTGCCCCTCTACTCTGCTCTCATGAGACCTCACTTGGAGTATTGTGTGCAGTTCTGGTGTCCTCAACATAAAAAGGACGTAGAACTGTTGGAACAATTCCAGAGGAGGCCACAAGGATGATCAGGGGACTGGAGCACCTCCTGTATGAAGACAGGCTGAGAAAGTTGGGGCTGTTCAGCCTGGAGAAGGCTGCATGGAGACCTCATAGCAGCCTTCCAGTATCTGAAGGGGGCCTATAGGGATGCTGGAGAGGGACTCTTCATTAGGGACTGTAGTGGTAGGACAAGGGGTAACACGTTAAAACTTAAACAGGGGAAGTTCAGGTTAGCTATAAGAAAGAAGTTCTTTACTGTGAGGGTGGTGAGGCACTGGAATGGGTTTCCCAGGAAAGCTGTGAATGCGCCATCCTTGGCTGTGCTCAAGGCCAGGTTGGACAGAGCCTTGGGTGACATGGTTTAGCGTGAGGTGTCCCTGCCCATACAGGGGGGTTGGAACTAGATGATCTTAAGGTCCATTCAAACCCTAACTATTCTATGTTTCTATGATTCTATATTCCTCTTGAAAGAAGTAACCCTGGGGCAGGTAAGAGAGTTTGGCTGGGTTTCCTCTAGCCCCAAATCTTCAAATATGACATTAGAGAGACCATAAAGATCTCATAACAGACACTAGGGAAGTGAAGAGCTAAGGGGAGTAGTAAATCTCCCTTTCCTTTGGAGATTTACTATGAAAACAAATGTCATCCACTCCTTTCCTTTTTCTTTATTTGCAGAACATCTCAGTGCGCAGCGTTACTGGAGAGGTTTACTGTGCCAAATCAGGCAGGAAATTCTCGGGACAAATACGAGAAAAATTCCTTATTTCTGACTGGAAATATGTGCTCTCTGGCTCTTACAGGTGAGATAAACCATTGCAGTTCATGGTTGGCTGTTCCTTCATGATTTAGAATATTCCTTCACCAAAAAAGTGCCATGGAAGTTTTTGGATGGGTGATGTTGTTTTTTTGAACAAAACTCCCTCATGTTTTCCATTTCTCAGTAATCCATTTAATTTGCTTTAAAGATGATGTTAGCTTTTTATGGAGCCTGGTATTTAAAGGTTTAGAAACTGGAGTAAACAGCTGGTGCATCCCTGGAGCAGCACTAGGAATGTGTAGAGCTCAATATCATGCTTTTCTCATTGTTTGGGTCCTCGAATGCTGTGATCACGAGACATGATAGACTTCCATCTCCCTCAGGATTCCTTAATGTAGCATATGTCACTCAGCTTATCTGAGGATTTGTTCTCCATGTGACAAGTTTAGTGATTAAAGGTAAAACAGAAACACTTCAGAGATTTACTGGTTTTTCTTGTGTTTCATTAACAGGTAGGCAGTGTGTGTCTACATGACTGTTGTACCTTCCCTTTTGTTTCCTCAGTTTGTGAGCTGAGTCTCTAACTCTCCACTTTTGGGCTGCTATAATTATTTCAGGTAGAGGACGTTGCACCTCAACAATAGGGTTTTAAATTCAAGTCCAAAATCCTCCAGTCAGGGAATTTGAGGAGACGGAGCTTGCATCAAATAAAGTTCTTAAGACTCATGGCTACATAGATAAGCTTCACAAATGACTGTGTCCTGGAAATCCACATACAAAAATACAAGAAGTGATTATTTAATTAAAAGGATGAGATTATTTTTTCTTAATCCCAGTTTATGATTTGGAAGCTTAAACGCCTCTGGTGTGATAAAACTGTGGCACGGGAAGATGCCGTAACTACCATACCAGAGGTGAAAGTGAATACATGGCGTTAGAGCAGGCTGCAGGAACTCAGCTGTCCAGAGGTGGGCATCCAGTTTTTGTCCAGTTTCCAAATGAACCCTCAAACAAATATGAGTGAATATTCAGTGATTTCCTATCGGGTGCTCTGCAGTTTTCTTGGTATTTCAGTTTTTTTTCAGTCCCTCACCAAAAATGTGTAGAAATGCAACAGCAGATTTAGAGAGGAGAAGTAAGGGATGTGTGGGAGAAGAGGGACAGAACAAGATCTGTTTTATTGAGCTTCCTTTTGGCTTCTCTTTCAATCCTGAAAAACAAAAACCCTTGAAGTCCTGTGCAGTCACTTCTGCCATTCATTCCCTACTGCTGTTGCAGTATCTTCTAACCTCAAGAGCCTTGTCAAAGTAAATAATCCCCTATCCAACAAGTAAGCAGAGATGGTGGTGAGGAACAAATCTATACACTATTTAACTTCAGCATGCCCAGCACCAGTTTGCAGATTCACATGGGTTATGGCCGGCTGTCAGTATGTGGCATTTCTGTAGGCTTGCTAGCTCTCACTTCATCAATCTGAAGGTTTTCTGTTATCCCTAAACCTTATGCACCAGCTGCTGCAGAACAAGAATGACATTGAATAAAACAGTCTCAAACTCTTCTGTAATGCATTTATTGGAAATCAAACTGGAACAGATCTTAAATCTTAAAGCAAAAGATCTTTAAACTACTGTAACAGCAAATTTAATCAGTGCTGTGCTCTGCATGACTTTGTAGTATCAGTGAGGGGAATAGGCTGAGGAAATAAAACAGCCCTTTAGGACACTCTGCTCCACAAGGGACCCTGGCTCACTGCCCACCTGTCTGAGGACAAACTATATTTGCCTAATGGACAACAAAGGGGACTGAAGCTGGCAACTAGTTAGAGGCAAAGGAAACACCAAGTCTGTGGCATCTCCTGCTCTGGAGTTGGTTTAAAACCACATTAAAAAGCTGTTGCTTGGGTCAGTGTGGGTAAGTGTGGTCCTGCTGCACAGGGCAGACCAGAGCTGGAAGGCTTCTGAAGGCTGTTCCACCCATGCGTCTGCACAAGTGGAGGCATGAGCGAGTGTTTTAAGTTACAGTTTTTCCTCTGTTTTTTTACTGGCAATGTCAGTGGTGTGGGATTTGGATGAAGTATTTCTTTTTGCTGTCTCTGTGTTACTCTGCTTCGTCCTATATAACTGTTATTCCATTTTCTTTAATTAATTGGAGTTAGTGCATGAACTCTGCTCCTAAAGAAGGCAAAATGGGAGCAGAAGAAAGCACAGGACTTGGTCGTCAGGGGCAGCTGAGACACTCTGAAAGCCTCAGAGGCCAGCATCTAACATCTAACACTGGTGCTCTGCTGAAAGCCTCAGTTCAGGTGGCACAGGTTTCTCATAACGAGGTTATCCCACCAGCAGGCAACACTAAGGTGTAGGTTAATTCAAACCTGGGCTCAGGTGAAAACCCCACTCCTTCAGTTTCAGACTGAATGTGTGTAACTGCATGTTGCTGTAGTGCTGTAGACACACGGGATGGGAATATCCCTAATAACTGCAGCTGCAGTAGTGCAGAGGGGAAAAAGCAAGTCCAGAACAAATGGAGATTGGACAGGAGAGGTGGGGTTTGATTCAGACCATCTTGAATGACAGGATCCAGAACAGCAGATAGGTTTGGGGACAAAAAGGAAAGGTGTCTGAGATGTATCTGTTAATGACTGAATTTGTGATACAGCTTTTTCCTGAAGCTGGGCAGGACCTCTTTGTACCTTCTCTCCTTTCTGATGTGCTTCACTCAGAGAGGTCTGGTAGAAAAATGCTCCTTATGGGCAGATAGTGACAAAACCAGACTTCTGTGAGCCTTTCCCAGAAGAGCACTTGGAATTGTTAACTAAGGAGCAAAACAGGGCCTAAAACCTAACCAATGAATTAATTCCTCCTAAAATGAAGCCAGTGGAAATCTGTGAAGTCTTTATTTCAGGTTCCTCTTTGTTCTCCAGCAAAGAGCACAGCATGTAAATTGCTGTGACTCACTACAAGTCCTAAGTTTGTCTAAAATCACACAGGTCTCACCTCGTTACTTTGCAACTGACCCATTGCCACCAGCCCATTGAAAATCTTTGGGCTGTTGATTGGATCCAGCTTTCTCAGATCACAAGGGTTATGGATAAGGTCAATGAGCCACAGATGAGTATCTGTCTGCCAGGTACTCCAGGAAGTTACCCTGCAGTGAACTATCAGAATTGGGCTCAACAGGTTTTTCTTTTGATTTTGTGGGGTTTTTAAAAGCCATTTATAAGTGTAATTAATTTTTATTTATCTCTAAATTTTCTTTTGTAAACTAGCTATATTTCTAGCACATCATGTGTAAACCTGCCACTCCACACCTCAGCCCTTTCATGAGATCATAACCTTCAGTGAAGATATCCCAGACTGTGTGTGGTTTTGTATTTGGTCCTAGCTTATTATCTCCTGAACAGTCAGACAAAGGACATGCAATGGTTTAGAGAGTGCTTCTTGGTGAATACAGGCAATAGTGAGCTGGCACAGCAGATGTTACCCACGCAGCAGGGAGTTAGCTTTCTAGGCTGTTCACCTTGGTTCCCAAGGTTTTGTCCAGATCTAGACTGATTTGAACAAACTGGATGAGGAGAAGCTGTATTCTGGTAACTTACTGTATATTTTCATGTCCAGTCATAAAATGTACAGTGTATACTGTAGGGGTGGCTGGTGGCATTGAACTAGTGATTTCTTCACTCCTTCACTTGCTCCTGAACCATCAGTGTAAAACCACTGTGTGCCCCAAACCCAGCCCAGTGTAAGAATGCTCTGAATGGGCAGATATAAATCCTCTGGCTTTGCTCCCTGAGCATCAGCTCAGGCTGTCAGTCCCACTGAACTTCATAGGCCTTTTGTCAAAACATGACAAACACAAGATGCGAAGTGCACACACCTACAGCCAAATCCTTGTGCAAATCCAGCGTAGCTAATGAAGTCATGCAGGAATAACCTGGGCAGAGTTTGGCAACACAGAATAACCTCAGGCTTGAAACACGGAATAACCTCAGGTTTGAAACACAGGGTAACCTTAGGTTTGAGTTCAGTGCTGCTCCGTATCCTCTGCTGCACAGCTCGAGCCCCATCAGCTCAGGGAGTAATTACATTTCATTCTCTCAACTGTGCTCATTTTATTGCTGCTGCTCTGACAAGGCAGCCTGCACACCACAATCAAGCTGGTTTGTGGTTTGGTAAAAGAGCATGAATTTATGTTTGCCAAGTGGATTAGGGAAGCACATAAAAGAAAAATCATTTAAAAGCTGTGGGGTATCCTCACATGTGTCTCTGGACTACCAGAATGAAAACTACTGCAGTGCTTCTCCCTTACTTTATAGCAAAGTAGTATTTTTATTGTTGGACAGGAAATGTTTGTAACTTCATTTTCTCTGTAGTGAAGAAAATGAGCATTTGCCAGGTGTGGCGGTTTGTTCTGTGGAAGTGGATGTAACAGGAAGGTTGAGTCTTTACGTGTTTCTCTTGACCAGTGCAGAAAAAGTATGGCAACACGGAAATGACAGGTGGTTATTTGCACTAATCTTTCTAATGTCAGTTTGGAGTGGTGAGAGTTACACCTGGCACTGCAGGGAAGGTACAATGTATGTGTATGCAGATGAGACATGGTAAGAGCTGACTTTAAGCATTGTGCATGGAAGAGGTACCCAAAAGTGGGGTCTGAACTCCTTTCCATGGAACAGACACCCAAACCTTGCGTTCTTTACCTGACTTTTAGACCCACAGTGCATCTGGATCACCGCTCGCTTTAAGATGTTGTATAACTTGACAACGGTTCTGGAAGGCTTAGGGGCAGCTGCACTAACAAAGGTTGATCCGAGCCAAAGAGCACTGATGTGAACTGACCTGAAATTTAACTGTGACACCATCTTCATGCTGTGTTTAGGCAAGAACTTCAGCAGTAAAGCACATTTGCCTTTCACACCACCCCTGCAGGGATGCCCAGTCCTTAGTGGCTGATGTTAACGCTGTCCCTTACCTTGTCCCTTCCTCCAGCTTCACGTGGTTATGTGGCCAGGTTCACCGCAACCTCCTCTCCAAGTTCACGGGTCAAGTTGTGGAGCTGTTTGATGAAGAGTTCCGACACCTTTACGCCCTCTCCAAGCCCGTGAGGGGCCCGAACTCTCCGCCGCGCACCATGCCCTTCCTGTTCAATAGGAGCTGGGCCCCTCAGCGCAGCCTCCCCTGCAGCAACGAGGAAAACACCAACACTCTGTCTGATCCCTTCAGCAGCCTCTCCAATGGCAGCACCCACCAGAACAAGCAAAATCCAACAGCTCTCACATTCAGCAGCAACTTAGCCCCACAGTCACCTCTGCATAGAGTTAATTCCTTCCACAACTATGTCTCATTCACACCCTCATCACCACAAAAGGCCATCCAGGGTAACTACTACCAGCCACCCTATGTGGCTGATAACTCCGCAGTGCTGTATAACAACATGAACGTTTACAGGCCTATAAGACTTAGACAAGAGGAACCAAATAGGACAGGGTTAAGCTCACCCTGGAGATGCCTCCACCAAGCTAACCTGTTTACATAATAACCACCTCGGTTTGAATTGCAAGTAAGCCTAGTGAGGACCTGTTTAGCAATCGCTCCTGTACTGATGAATATAGAAATTCTATATAATACAAAATGAGGATGATTTCAAGCCTCCTGTTTTGTTTTGCTGCTTATGGATGCTTCGTTTCCCTAATTAAAAAGCCAAGCCTTGCTAATGTGTAAACCTTGGGTGCATCATGACCCTAGGAAGAACACATCTAAATAATGCTGCTCATAGTGCAACGCTGCTGCCGCCTATCCCCAGCCGTCGGTAGCATACCTGTGTAGCAGATTTGGGTGGTCACTGTTTTTCAGGTGGCCAGGCATGGGGTGAGGCACAGCTGAAGGCTCGGTTACACAGCAAACCAAGGCGGTACTGGCAGCAGCAGTCTACTACCTCCGTGCTGTCATCGCACCTTGATTTTGGAGGACTCCTGAGGGCTGATGGGGAAGGAGTTTGTTCTTCTGCACTGCCCGAGGTACATCAGCAAGGACAGCTCTTGGTGAGGTTTTAGGACGGGGTCTGTGAACACAAGCCCGGCAGTTCAGGTTATGTCTTGCAGCTCACTTCCACTCTGTGCCTTCAGCTCACTTTGTTACCACCTCCAATCCCACCAGCTCAGAGCAGTTTTCCTTATTGCAGAGTAGCTATCTAGATCCAGACTGGAAAATGAAGCTGAGTGAAGAAGCAAAGTCCTACAAGTAACACACCAGGACTGAGTTCCAATTCATTTAATAGCACGTGGATATTAGAAATCCTCTCAATGGTCATTTGACTGAACATTAAATTAGAGATAATAGCACTTTATTTCAGAGATTTTTGAGGTTTCTAATGTTTAAAGAGAAGCTGGGTGCCTGTAATGCCCACTGAATACAGTTACAGAGGGAATTACAGAGGTGCAGCAGCTTGAATCAAACCACAGAAACTTTCTGTCAAATAATCCATGAAAACGAAGGAAGCGTCTGTAAGTGAAAGGCAAAAAATAGTAAAAAAGTTCCTGAAACAAAGGATTTCCACCCAAATCTCGTAGTTAGATGCCTCACATCCATTGATCTGTCAGTAGATTATTTTTTACACCTACTTTATATCATTTTTCATCTGACTCCAACAGAAAACAGGAACCAAAACACATTCGCACATCTGGCCCATTTCCTTTCACTTCTCACCTGCTCAAGGAAGGCAGTTCCTGAGGCTGTGGGTGATGACTATTGTATGCAGCAGCGAGGTCTCAGGTGGGGACAGTTTCTCTTCCTTGGAAGAGCAATCATTTTGAAAGCATGACAGTAACATTTGCAGAACATCATAAGAGGAACAGGATGGGCACTTCCTGCTCTAGCTTTGGTGTGCATGGGTTTACCTCTGAGATCAAATATTGGAGTCCAGAGTAACAATAAACTACTGCATATAGTTGTAAATTCTGTACATAGTGACACTTTTTAGATTTCTTGGGAAGAAGGGGAAGTTGATTTTCATTCCTGTGACAGTTCTACTTCAGTATCTAAATATGGCAAGCATTCAAATAAAAGAGACTTTCATTAAAACCCCTTTGAGAATCATTTTGTTTCTTCATGTTCTCTTGACTCGTGCACCTCACTCTCTTCTCTTCCAAAAGCAAAATGAGTTCCAGTCAGAGCCCAGGTGAAGAGGAAACACATTTTGTTTCTTCTGAAATCAACAGGAACAGAATTAAACAGATGGGTCCCCTCAGCCTAATTAAGATTCTTCTTTGAAACTTGGCTCAGTTCACTGGTCCTCCTGTGGCCCAACTGGTGGTGGCATGGAGAGGGATATGGGGAGAAGTTTGCAGACCACTGCCACTGAAGCCTTAATTTCTGCAGCCTGTGAAGCATGGAATTCATGAAGGAGATCTAGGAGACTAGTTCGGTTGATACGCTGGAGGGAAGGAATGCCATCCAGAGGGACCTCGACACGCTTGTGAGGTGGGCTGATGCCAACCTCATGGAGTTTAACCATGCCAAGTGCAAGGTCCTACACCTGGGTTGGAGCAATCCCAGGCACAGCTACAGGTTGGGCAGAGAAGAGATTCAGAGCAGCCCTGCAGAGAAGGACTTGGGGGTGTTGGTTGATGAGAAAATGAACATGAGCCAGCTGAAGTGTGCATTTGCAGCCCAGAAAGCCAACTGTATCCTGGGCTGCATCAAAAGGAGTGTGACCAGCAGGTCAAAGGAGGTGATCCTGCCCCTCTACTCTGCTCTTGTGAGACCTCACCTGGAGTATTGTGTGCAGTTCTGGTGTCCTCAACATAAAAAGGACATGGAACTCTTGGAACAACTCCAGAGAAGGGCCACGAGGATGATCAGGGGACTGGAGCACCTCCCGTATGAAGACAGGCTGAGGAAGTTGGGGCTGTTCAGCCTGGAGAAGAGAAGGCTGCGTGGAGACCTCATAGCAGCCTTCCAGTATCTGAAGGGGGCCTATAGGGATGCTGGGGAGGGACTCTTCATTAGGGACTGTAGTGATAGGATAAGGGGTAACGGGTTAAAACTTAAACAGGGAAAGTTTAGATTGGATATGAGGAAGAAGTTCTTTACTGTAAGGGTGGTGATGCACTGGAATGGGTTGCCCAGGGAAGTTGTGAATGCTTCATCCCTGGCAGTGTTTGAGGCCAGGTTGGACAGAGCCTTGGGTGACATGGTTTAGTGTGAGGTGTTCATGCCCATGGCAGGGGGGTTGGAACTTGATGATCTTAAGGTCCTTTCCAACCCTAACTGTGCTATGATTCTATGACTCTGTCATCATCTCTGTGGGGGAAGGTCATTTGCCTACAAGGCACATTGCAGAACACAGCTAATAAAAAGTAGGTAAGGGACAAGCTAACAAGCCACATGGTGAACGAAGAAGAGCTGACTTCAGCCTTGAATCAGGGATACAGCTTGTGCTAGTTCGGATGATGGCTGAACTTGAACATCACATGAATGGAGTTTCACTTTGGGTGGAAACCAGTGAGTTTACAATTTCAGCAAGTTCTACCAAAACCCCTAGCAGGCCCCGCAAGCCCAAATGCCCGGTGATGAGGGAACCTGTGGTTACAGGAACAAACTGGCAGGAGGGTCAGTGCCCTGCACTGATACATGCTGATGATGCTGACATACTGCATCCCTCTGCTGAGTGGGAAGGGCTCAAACAAACACCGCTGCCGCACAACGCACCCTCAGCAAGTTCGTGGTGACACCACCCTGAGTGGTGCCGTTGAGTCACTGGAGGGAAGGGACGGTGTCCAAGGGACCTGGACAGGCTGGAGGCCCAAGTGAGCACAGTGAAGCTCAACAAGGCCAAACACGAGGTCCTGCACCTGGGTGGAGCAATCCCCAGTATCAGTACAGGCTGGGGCATGAAGGGATTGGGAGTAACCCTGTGGAGAAGGACTTTGGGTCATTGATTGATGAGAAGCTCAGTATGACCCAGCAGTGAGCACTCAGCCCAGAAACCAACCATATCCTGGGCTGCATCAAAAGGAGCGTGACCAGCAGGTCGAAGGAGGTGATCCTGCCCCTCTACTCCGCTCTTGTGAGAGCCCACTTAGAGCACTGCATCCAGCACTGGGGACACAACCTACAAAAGATGCTAATTCCCCTCCAGAGTGCCCTGAGGCCTTACCCAGGCTTTGCAGGGGCCTGTGCAGAAGCCAGATTACCATCCTCAGCACCCCAGCACCATAGCTGCAGTTGGGAAGGGGGCTCTGCAGAGCCCCAGGTCCTGTCTCAGATTTGCTCACATTTTTGTTTTCTTCCATTGCATGTGCAGGTACTGTAAAGAAGGCAAAGTGGCACTAGCTCAACCCCTTGTTATGGCCAGCCATAAAGGTGGCTCTTGGCTGGGGGTACGAGCAGGACCCTGTGCTCTAAGTCTTGATTCCTTATAAGCAAACTGAGGACTACCGACATACTCACTTTTACAATGACATTGCCTGCTGCTAGGAAGTATGGATTGAAGATTTTTGTTTGCCTTTGTTTCCGCACACAGCCTTTGCTTTTTCTGTATTAACTGACTTCATCTCAACCCACAAGTCCTTGTATTTTTTCATCTTACTTTTACATTCCCTGTCATGTTGAGAAAGGGGATTGATAGAGCACCTGAGTGGGCACCTGGCAGCCAGCCATGGTCAATTCACCACACAGTGATAGGACAAGAGGGAATGGCTTTAAACTGAAAGAGCAGAGATTAAGATTAGATGTTAGGAAGAAACTCTTTACTGTGATGGTGCTGAGGCGCTGGCACAGGGTGCCCAGAGAAGCTGTGGCTGCCCCATCCCTGGCAGTGCTCAAGGCCAGGCTGGATGGGGCTTGGAGTACCCTGGTCTAGTGAAAGCTGTCCCTGCCTGTGGCAGGGGGTTGGAACTGGATGAGCTTTAAGGTCCCTTCCAACCCAAACCAGCCTGTGATTCTGTGATGGAGAAAACTGCATTAATGTCACTAGTTAAAGCACTATCGTGTTCGCTCACCTCAAAGCCAGCAGCATTCAAAGACTCAAAAGCAAGACACACTATGAGATTGTATTTGTACACAGAAACCATCTCAGAAGCATCACAACCAGCATCAGAGGGTTGTTCCCAAAGCATCTGTAACATGAGCAAGTGTTAAACCAACAAAATCAAACCTCAGTAACTGTCAATGGATTCTCACTTGCAATCTGCAATACTCTAATTTCCTATTTAACTCAGCATGGAGCACTGGTTTGTGTACAAATACCAATAACCATGCAATCATAGATCATTTGGGCTCATAAGAGCTGAAACATGAAGAAATCTATTGGCAGATGTAGAATTATGCAGAACACAGAAGTAACGATGAGGCATTCAAAATGCAAGACAGAAACACAAACCCCCTTGTAAGATATGATCAGAAACAGAAAACTGGCGCTGGAAGTGGCATGCCAAAGAAGCAAGGAGCAGGCCAAAAAAGGAGGAATTGAAGTAGCTGAGATGAGAGATAGCCAGGCACAAGTGGAACAAAGGAGTATTTCATAGCTCCAGTGCAGTAAGCACTGGTTATCTGGGACAGTAACTATGTCACACGTTCAGAACAACGTTCATGTTGTTTGCTTTGCAGTAGTTTAACCCAACATTTTTGCTTTATTGTTATGTTTGAGAAAATACTGCCTGTTGGTAAGAGCTGCCGCTCGCCTTCCACTCCAGAGCCAGTTGTCTTCCCAGCCTGAGACGCCACCTCAAGTCAAACACTGCACGCACACCAAAGAGACTCCAGACCTCTGTGTACTTTGGACACCTCGGTCACAAACTGACAGCATTTGGCAAGTATTTAATTTGCTGCTGTAATAGCTTCAACGCTATTTCCACCTCCTA